TGTGCGTGCGTGTGTGTGTGTGTGTGTGTGTGTCTGTGGGTGTGTGTGTGTGTGGTGTGTGAAAGTGTGTGTGTGTGCGCGCGTGCGTGCGCGCGTGCGCGTGCGCGTGCGCGTGCGTGCGCGTGCGCGCGTGTGCGCGTGGGCGTGCGCGTGCGCGTGCGCGTGCGCGTGCGCGCGCGCGCGCGCGTGCGTGCGTGCGTGCGTGCGTGCGTGGGTGGGTGGGTGGGTGGGTGTGTGTGTGCGTGCGTGTGTGTGTGTGTGTGTGTGTGTGTGTGTGTTTTCACGCGTGCGTGTGTGTGTGTGTGTGTGTGTGTGTGTGTGTGTTTGTACGCGTGCGTGTGCGTGTGCGTGTGTGCACGTGTGTGTGTGTGTGGGTGTGCGTGTGCGTGCGCGTGTGCGTGCGCGTGTGGGTGCATGTCTGTGTGTGTGTGTGTTTGCTTGAAGCTTGTTCGGGAATTGCATGTGCCGCGGTGGAGCATGTGCATCGCGGGCCGTTTTGAACTCATGCCCACATGTTGATGTTGATGCACAGGGATTCCAAATTGTTATTTGCAATGGAGGCACGTCTTTCATGGCAAAAAACAACTGCCCGTTCTATTCTATGCCAGGGCAATCCCAGAATCACATTGCAGCCATACAACAGGTTGAGCTCCGAAATGTTGAGCTCCGAGATGGGGAGCCTCAAGTCAAGTCGCAAAGATGTTTTGATTTCCCGAAGCACCGAGCTCCTAGGCCAATACGCAACCGGACCAGCGCATTGCATCCTGGTTCCTTATCGGTGTTGATCGCCCCTTATCGCTTTTGCAGGAGTGTGTGTATGTTGTGAAAGGTTTGTTTGAAGGGAAGTTCGCCATTTTTTTATTTTTTATTTTTGGCACACCACTGTCTAGGCCCTTGGTGCCGGGTTCCGACACCAGGGACGGGCGCTCAGCGGGCATGGCGGGGACAGCGGCCACAGGGACAGCGAAGCTTCGTTCCCTTGTCGGGCTTTATTGTTTAGGTTACCCGCAAAGCGGGGTAGGTGCTAACAGGTCCGCCGCTTCTCAGTTTTGGGGTAAAACAGTAAAACCGTAAAACCGTTTACCGATTTAACGTTTTACCAACAAAACAGCGGTTTGTTGCCAACGGGCTCGCTTCACATATTGTTGGTAAAACGGTAAAACGGTTTTACAGCAGGAGCCTTTGTCCCCCCTCAAGCCTTTGATGGGACGTGTTTTACCGTGTTGCCGTTTTGCCGTTTTACCTCAAGAATCTATGGGGAGGACCCACTAACACCGACCCCACTGCCTAACCAGCACAGCAGAACAACATGAACGCGGTCCCGAAGAAGCCTGTACGGGGTTTTGGTATGAGCCACATCTCAACCAATGTGTAATACATACCGACTGCAAACTAGTTTTTTGTTGATGTGTCGAAGTACCCATCATTTATGCGGATTGCCAGAAGCCAACAAAAACAATGATGCCTGATCCCGACGAATGCTTAAATATAGCTTAATATCATCCCTCAAAGGAAGCAACATATTGATTGATTCCCCAGGCGGAAAACCCGTTGGGTGTCTTTTGTTTGTTTGTATTGTGTGTTTGGTTTGTTTTGTTTGTTTGGTTGCTTGGTTGGTTGGTTTGTTGATCGCATGTCCTTTGTGGAGACCGGCTGCACTTTGTGAGTATCAGTATCACCGTATATATTTTCCTCTGTGACAAAATCCCAACGGGACGCCCATTTGCGCAGCAGGCAATGCTGCAGGGAATTGGCGCTTGTTTGCGTAGTTGTTCATTTATGTGTGTTTGCTCGTTTGTTTGTTTGTTTGTTTGTTTGTTTGTTTGCTGGCTTGTGATTTGGGGAGGTGATGGCTCAAGTTACTCAGGACATGCTCTTCCGCATCTGTGGTGCCGCTCCCTTAGCTGACTCGGGCACGAGCAAGGGCCCCCCAGAAGTGGAATCTCCCAGCAAGGGGCCCATATCCCTCAGTTTGGTTGTGGGAAATTTTGTGGGTCCTCCCCTGTCTCTCCCCAATTTGACCATAGATTTCCACATTTTTGAAGGCCCTGTTGCAAGCCGTGGAACTTTTTCAAGGCACAGCACCACAATCAGCGTCTCCTGATGGTTTTCACTACGTTCGTTTGTTGTTTGGGGTCTTTCTGAGCGTTTTCCCCAAACAGCGTACCAAAAGCAACTCGCCCGCCGCCAAAACCAAGTCCCATCAGTGGCGACAGCTTGCATTCTGACGCAACTTGCCGGCGTGCCAGTTCTGCTAGCCTAACTAACAATGCCAAACAGAATTGCCAACAGAATTGCGCATACAATTGCCTCGTTGCAATTAATATTACCAAGAGCACCAATGCCAGTGTCACTTTCAGTAATCGCACCCAGTAGCAGCTCAATGGAGGCATTCTTTGGCACAATCTGTGTCGTCTACAGTGTCTTATGCAGCAACAGCAGCCGCTGCAGCCTGGCCGCTGCTTCTTAAATGCAGTGTTTTGCTCGTTGCGCATGTGGCTGTGGCTAGCTATGCACGTAATTGCATCCCCTGTGTCATCAGTTGCCAGTCCTGAAGCTTTGGCACACTTGAGCGAACAGTTTGATCTGTTTGTGCCAAGCCTGTTGTTTGATGGGGTAAATGTCTACATAATGCGCAGTGACCTTGTTTGTGAATTTTGTGACACGTTTGAGACACCACGTCGCCTGCATTCAATCACACAAACAACCTTTCACTGTGCAGTCGGCAACCGTCGCAAAACAACCCCCCGCCTCCCAGGAGCTGGGAGCGCCGGAGGAATGCTGGCCGGGCTTCCTGGAAGTCTCCCCGTGCGCCTGTTTCCTAAGAAATGGCACTTCCCTAGAGGACCGGCGCTCCGAGCCCCTTTTTGATGTCCTCTTGCCCTTGTCACCTCCGGTCGCCAGCGGACTATTCTGCCCGTGCTACAACCTTTTGCAGGGGGTCGGTCAAAGACCAGCTCAAAAATGGCTGGTGGACACAACCCTCATTGGGGAAGAGCAAGCCACTGGCCAAGCGAATGCTCTCCTGGAAGGCTATTTTCCTTAGCGTTTGGTTGGTTCCATGTTAGTGGACAGAAGGGTTGAAATGATTTTATTAAATTGGTGAAACCACTTGGGTTCAACGCCATGAAAAAATGGTCCCCCCAATTTGGATTATGTGTGATCTTAGGCTAACAACTGTGGTTATATTACCCCCAATGATTTAGCTGATGGGAACTGGAAAAACTCAGGGCATTAGTGATCCCTTCAACCCTAACAACGCAAGCCTTCCAGGCAAGTAGGATCTGTGCCCTTAGCTTGCTTGAGTTTCTCCTGGTTTCCTCGAAGTCTTGCCTCAACGAAGCCTTGGGGAAAAATCGGCATGGGTTTGTTCCTCCATCTTTCCTTGCCGGAACCTCCAAAAGCGCCAAGTTCAATGGAAACCACTGGTATCTGGCAACTTTTGCAGTCGAAATCCAGTGACCCCGGTCGGGGTGTGTTTTATCAGATCCAAACCAGGTTGGACCTTTAAGCAGCAGGGGTTTCCTTAGATTTCCCTTTTTGGAAGGAACATAGCAGGTCATTCAAATGGGTTCTGCAATGTTTGGGTGGGAAATGCAATGTCTCCTTCGTAACTTTGGGACTTGTTTTCTTTCCCCAGACAGTCTTAAGTCTTGAGCCCCTTTTTGCAGGTCAGGCCGACCATACTGTCATTTGCTTAACATGTGTTAGTTTGCCTTTTTGTTTGTCAAGGCAGGTATTTTTTGTTGGCCAGTGACCTGAAGCAAACTGAAGCACAGGAAAAGTCGATCACATTGAGCCAGCCTGCGACCGACGGGCCGACCGGTCTGGAGTTGACCAGAAGAACTGTTGGGAGGGTATCAAGGGTCAGGTTTGGAGTTGCATTGCTCCACGATACCTTTGGCATCCAAATGAATTCTCGCGGAAGGGTTGGCCTGCGCTATCCGCTTCTGGGTCTGTCCTTGCAAGGGTCAGGTTTTAGAGGTGTTTAACTTTTCCTTTTTGGGCCTCTCAAAGTGTTTTCTTGGGGGTGATGTTTACATCGGACATATTATTGTAGAGAGCCCTGTTTATATAATTGACATGAGCCCCTTTATGTGAGTAAGTAAAAAGATGACGAAGATGGAGGGCTTTATGCCATCTGCCACCAACTGCAACCCGTCTTTGTTGGCGTGGGGGCTTGACCCCTGATGGAACTACATGGAAAGGCACCCTCCAAACCACCAATCCAAAGCACTGACGGCACCCGGGCCCGGTCCGCCTGAGGCCCTTGGCGCACCAGCTTGTGGAGGCAAGCGCGGATGGAGCCACAAAGGATCAACCATGTGCTGAGGTGAATGCCCTAAGTTGAACATTACATGAACATGTATCAGAGCATGATTTATGTGACTTCTTATTTAGCATGAGATGTTCAACATAAGTTCCTTTCCAAGTAGGAAGGTAAATTTCAGCAGTCTTCTAACTTGCCGGCCCCTTAAAAGGAGTGAACACCCGACAAATGCATCAATATATGCATATGTATATATATATATATATACATATATATATATAAGAAGTTTGTTGTTGCACATGTTCTGTAGGTAAGACGTTTGTTGTTGCACGTGTTTTGTGGGTGAGAAGTGTTGGTTGCACATTGTTATGTGGAACCACTTCATGATGACTCCTCCCGGAGCCTCTTCCTCAAGAGTCGATTCACGTTTTTGCATCCTAACCAGCAAGCCGAGTTGACTGTTTGGCTTTGTTTTATGTTCCATCCTCAGTAAAACAAACTCACCACTTAAAATTATTTCATATTCCCTTGCAAGCAAGTCAACGTCTTGCCGGGAGTTCGCCTCGATGTGGCCCAGTCGGGGCGTGTGCCAGGCCTCAGGCCGCGCCAATGCAGAGCCAGCAGCATGGCAGTCCCTGCGCGACCAGCACGCGCCGGAGGATCGATGGGTTTCCGAAATGTGGAAAAGCGGGTTTAAGGGTCCAGGCTCACTTTTTAAGTTGGACTTCCTGATTTAGCCTGTTTGCGACCAATCAGGGTGTGCTCGTGTGTGCTTAGCGGTTGGATTCTGTTGCTTCGGAGAGGGGAAATCGACGGTGTCAACCGCCCGGGCGGTTCCAAGCGCACGGGGCGAGGTTTGTTTTGCGAGCAACGCAAGGACCGATTTTGCGGGGAATGCGGTTTCTACCCACGGGTCCTTTGGGGCTTGACAACCAACATCAGGACGGGGAAACCACCAGGCAAGACCAGATGCTTCTTAAGTGACACCTCACAACCAGTTAACCACAGGTGGAACGGAAAAACAATCAATGACCCTTCGTCAGGTTGCATGTTAGTTAGTGCATGGAAGGGAGGGACCCTACGAAACAACGCCTCTCTTCTCCAACTGGCCATGAATTGACTATGGCCCACAGGGATTGGCCTGCGAAGCCAAAACAAGACCACAACTGTGGGGGGTCCCCAAAAGGTTTGCAAATAATTTGCCCATTGGTCACGGGTTGGTTCACCCCTTTCACATATTCCACGGTTTATTTCACAGGACTCCATGCCACTTGCGTTTCAATTCTCATGTCAGATTCGGGCTCATTGGCATCATCCCTAAGGTTGACCCCACAGTTTAATAGGGGGTGTTCCCCTCCAAAAGTGATGATTCCCCACTAAAACCAGGGACACACCCCCTATTCATAAACAGGGGTTGATTGATATGGGGTCAACATTAATCCAGACCCCTCGCAATCAGGGCCCTCCCCCCCCCGCAACCTTCTTCCACTCGGGGTGACTCCCGCAAACCGGGAACCGCTTCCGGCCTCCTCCTGTTGGGAAGTTCCCTCAGCTAGTCTGAAGTAGGTTCCATTTTCTGTGGGGGTTCCTGTCTTCCTCGCCGTGCCAAAGTTGGAAGTCTGTTGTCCCATGCGCCTTAGGTCACCCCCAGTCCAAGTGCACTTGGTAGAAAACCTGCCGCCAGTAGGTGTTGAGGGTGGTTGGCAGCCTATCGCCGCCCATAATCCCCAGCGTCTACTTCAAGGTTCCATGTTTGGGTTACCCCAAAAAAGCACTTGACCCAGAAAAAAAAAGCAAACTATTTTTATTTCTCCGTCAGGAATCATCCTGGAGACCCTAGGTTTTGGGTAAATCCAGCGCAAATCTCTGGTTTGGGCAAATCTACCCGAAAACTTTCGCCATTTGGGTATGAACTCTATTTGGGACCCTGTGGTGGACAGCAAGTAGGCCGGCATTAATGCTCACCAACCAATTGAGATGGTGCGTCCCATTAAATCATCAGCGCCATTTATTTATGGTTCTATTGCTTGGCTTTATGGGGTTTGTAGTAAGACCTACAGAAACCAAAAGTCGATCGTGTTTGGGGCGCCGTTGAACCAGTTTGCTGAAGGGTTTCATGGAGCCACTGCATGGGAACCAACCAATCTCTGGTCGAAGGGACTTTTTGAGTATTGATATACATATATATATATATATATGCATATATCAGGGAGTCTACGGTTCGGTTGGGTTCGAGTAGGTTCACTATTGTCTCTGTCGGTTCAGTGAATTCACCATGCCATGCCCTCAGCTTTTTGACAAGTGGCCCGTCGCCACGTCGCGTCGCGTTCTGCTGCAGGCGGCCGTTGAGCTCTTGGCGGGTTTGCTGCAGTATGACGGGGCCAGGCGCACGCGCCGAGACCTTGGGGCTTTGGACCGTCCCTACATGACCCACTGCTGATTCAGAGCCAGACCAAGGAGCATTGGAGGGTTATGGTCCTTCACGGTCCTTCATGGGCCCTAATGGTCCTAAGAGTCATTAATAGCCACTAGTCGTCACTAATTTAATTGTCACTGTGGTTGCAGTGGTTCCCATTGCGAGTCGGCTCTGAATCAGTTTATGATATGAGCAACGAAGAATATACCCTGGGTATAGGTGTTTAAACCATTGGCCTGCGATTGTGCTACCTATACCCAAAAGCTGCCTCCCAACATGGTGCCTTCTTTTGCGGGGGGGGTTCAGGAAACGAATGATGCCAGCGTTGCGTCACTTGCAACTTCCAATCTACGAGGTCATTCCTACCTTACTCGCCAACTTCTTTTCGGGCGTCCATCTTGGGCCCATCTTGGGTCTACAAACCCACCCTGAAGTATGCCCAGGGGTCCTTGACATTCTGGCAACTGACCTTGCAAACCTGTTTCAGCAGGGACTGCAAGTTTGCAACAATCGGTTTTCCATTGCGCTTATCGGGCGCAAAGGGGATTCGAAGCAGCAACACGACTTCTTTGCGGAGCTTACGCGGACCTACGCAAATGTGGGAACCAAGATCGAGCTGATGATTTGTCAGCATTGCTACGCTGGCGCCCCGGGCTGCAACTTCGACAACCCTCTTGATGACCCAAAAGGGGCGAGCACGCTGTACCCCGCCCGCCCGTGGCTGACATTGCCGCCGTTCAGCAAACTACCATTTGACGCAATCAAACCTGAGATGCTCTACGTCTTTGACCTCTTCCACGTCTTCAAGTTGGGCATTGGACGGGATTTGGTTGGCAGTTTGATAGTATGCCTCTGCAGATTTGGCTTTTGGGACAGCGCAGGCGACGCGGAAAACATACATGACCGATTGAACTGGGCGCACTGATCATGTGTATTGTATTGCCATGCAACAACGCAGCGCAGCCCTTCGAAGCTTCTCAGTGCACTACGCATGGGTAAATTGCAAAGCGAGCGACACAGCTTGATGGGGTTTCTACAAACGGCGCACTGTCAAAACAGTTTGGGGCTTGTATGGGGAGTCTTACCATGGGCCATATGGGTGGCGGGTGGCTCGTTTTTTAAGACCCTTTTTGGGTCGATATGAGGGGAAACTGAAGGGAAACGACTGATTTTCGGGGGACGGTTTCCTGTTATGAGACAAACCCACATGTCCGTTGGATAGTTTAAATGCATCACCTGGGCCCATTGAGTTTGCTCGTGGGATGTTGAAGAGGGTTTGTAAGGAACCAGGCTTGGTTGCAGGGGTGCGCCCAAAAAGGCAACTTCGCAGTTCAGAGAAAATGGGACAGTGTCCTAAACCAAACAAACGTGTTATCCAAATCATCAATCTTGTAATCCGGGGTATCAAGTCAGAGAACTTCATAGAAACCATGCAGATGTAGGATAATCTAGAGGAACTCAGCCGAAAGCTCGAATGTTGGCTAGTGTCCTGTAGAATTTCCTGTGGTTGGTTCCCTAAAACCATGTTTGTAACTTGCAATAGTTTTGCTACCAGCTGTCGTGAGCTTTGTGTTGGAAGTAAATGTGCCTCAAAAAGGAATCCCCAAAATGGTGGGTTCTTCTGGCTTGCCTCAAAACAACGCCGAAGGGTACCGAATGTCTGTGTTTGTGCAGCGCAGATATAGGTTTGAACATAACAGATATGAACCCCAAAAAGAATGTTTGCTCACTGTTGGACACTTCCAAACTTCGAAGTGGCAGCGCTTTCTCTGTAAACCGGTCTTTTCCGCAAGTTGTGTTTGGCTCATTTTGGCAGCCAAAGATCACCCGCGTCGCGGCATTGGTGCGCAACCCTGGGTAGAGCAAGCATATGTATACATATACATATATATATATATACATACTATATATATATATATGCTACCCCCCCCCCCTGGTGCCTATACTTTGCTTGATTTGAGCGCGCAAGCCGCATAGTTTTGATGACTTTGCAGTAGGTGCACCGTTTTGCTCGGTTTGAGCAGACAGGCTGTAGTGTTTAGACTATTTTTGCAGCAGAGTTCAGCAGAGATATGCACACTTGCAGTCCATCATCTCCATTTCATCTAGTTTTCGACAGAGAGCAATTCCATTTCACAATTCCAAGGACAAACATTTCCAGCGGAAATGTATCGACATGCTAGAAGCGTCTGGAATTCATGGAAACTGGACCCCCACCAGGAAAATTAGATACTCCTTGCACAAACATATCTACAAGGCAGGTGGCAAACAACAGTTTACTCTGTTGTAGGCAAGGTTAGTTGTGTTTTTGTTGCACAGAATAAGCTGTCGTTCTGTGCACTTTCTTTGCGCAAGCTTCTTTGCACAAGTTTGAAGTTTCTCCGAGCAAGTTCTCTGAGCAAGTTTCTGTGGGCAAAAGACAAAGGTTGGGTACCTCTTGCATGCAAGAAATGCATATGTTCTGGATTTAAGATTGACAATTGCCCAGGAAAGCTTTCTCCAAAGTCTTGACTCCAGAACAAGGCCATAGAGTAAGACTATAGTATTGTGAGTGTCGCCTTTTTACTCTGGTTTTGGACAGAACGCAATTCCAATACAACAATAAGAGAAGACAAGCGTTCCAAGCACGATGTAGACATGCCAGACCCCCGATAATTAGAGAACGGGAACAAGAAAGGAAATGTGAGGAACAAACAGGAACAGCATCTTTCCAAGATTCAATAATCACAATTGCCCAGGAAAACGTTGTCCACAAAACAAAGGATATTGAATATTGAGGCTTGCAAAGGCAAATTGTTGTGCTTGTGTTTTGCCAATTTGCCCCCTGAAATTATGACTGCTGAATCTAAACTTCTCAATACAGTATTTAGATCCAACATGCAGGACGTCTGTGGGACTTTTGGGGGAATCTTCTGTCTCCCCCCGAAATCTAAATGCCGATATTAAGGAATCTCCAAGATCCAAGATTGCTGGGGGACGTTTGGGGGAACTCTTGAGTCTTGGCTCTAGATTTCTTAATATCCGGGGTGAAAACATCTAAATGCAGCACTAAGAGACCTTAATACCGGTATTTCTGGTTTCAGGAAGGTCCAAGACTTCCCACAAACATCTCCAGCAATCTTGGATCTTGGATCCAGATTCCTAATACGAGAATTTAAACCACACCCTCTCTTTGTTGGTGCCCATGTTTGCCCAACAAACTGCAAACATCCCTGCAAAATCCGGTTAACATACAGATAATTTGGGCACCAGCAGGGTAGGGGGGGTACCTATTAGTAGATGTATTCGGAATATGGTCAAAGCTAGGATCAGATGCTCCTACAACGAAGCGGAGCAACAGCAAAGAGCCCCGCCAGCCGCGTGTCTCGAATCCGAGGTGCGGACCGCGCGCTGCGGGAGGGATTCCTGGCACCCGGCCTGGCGGAGGCCGTCGGATCGACCGCGCGGTTGAATTAGGGACATTTAAACGGGTAGTTTTCCGGATTTCTGACATTGGAATTCCTTCCGACCATAAATGGGTGTGTGAGTGTGTGTTTTTTGTACGGAGAACCTCCTTTTGGTTGATATTTAAAGGGAAGCCAAAAGGAAACCGACCGTTTTAGGCAATGGACCCCTATTTTTGAGAAACCCCCATATAGGTCTGTGGTTGGCCGCTCAACCACCCCCAAGAAGGTGTTCAGACAAAAGTCGCACTTGCATGTGCCAAAGCGTGGGGACCCCCCAAAATGGCATTGGCAGCATTGGTGTTCCTTTTGGCTTCACTTTAAACCCGGAGCATGGTTCAACGTGCTTGTTCCTCATCGTAAACGCTCCCCGGAACGTGGTTCAACGTGCTTGTTCCTCATCGTTAATGCTCAAGCTTGACCAAGCTTCAAGTTTTCTGCGACGTCAGCTCAGGCCTCGTGTCTAAGCAATGCGACAGCTGATGGTTTTGTTTTGCGCGGTCACTGAGCTGACCTAAGTTGTGGCTTATGTCGCCCTACCCCTTAGTGGTTTGGCTTGGTTTAAGTGCTTGAGCCCAGACGGCCATGCACAAACCACCAAACCAACAAATAGCGGTAAGGCAACGCTGGTTTGGTCAACTTCGTAGTTGTTGAGTGAGTGGTGCCCACGCCCCTGTTTGTTCCAGTTTGAACTGCTTTCGTGGGGATAGCTTGCAACTCAATGGTTCACCTGCCTCATTCCTGTTCCATATGTTTTGGACGGCAGTGTTTGCTACTTGGTTGCGATATCTTCAAAGCATTGTTTTGTTTTTGCTCCAAGCTCTATGGATCGTCCCAAGTTTTGACACATTCCTATTGAGATCAAGAGTTCTTGCAGGCTGTTTGGGGCGATTTGCATAGGCTGCGGTTGCCGAAGGATTCTGTGAGCCTTTCTCCTCAAGGACCCCCCCCATTAACAGCTGTATTTAAGATGCAAATCGTGGAGGCTTAGGAGGGTCTTGGAATATGTCTTGGGAAAGTGCCTGTGGCAATTAGTGGTGATCACCCATGGGCTTCTTGAATGTGGCGCAGACCAAAGATTTGAATTTTGAGGAACCTTCCACTTGCAGCCTTGTGCCCGTAGTTATTCCCAGTCAAGAAAAGGGTTTTGCAGAAGATTCGAGATATATTTTGCTGGAGTGACAGGGGTTCTGTTTCATACGCAAATACATTGAGACATACTGACATCGCAAATGCCGAAGCAATCTATGGAAGTAGTTGTGAAATTCGGCAATGGAGCGGAAAGTGACTGCCCTTCGGCGTTGCTTGCAAGAGTTTATTGATACCCTATCATCTGCGCAATTTCCAGCCGCCTCTGCAGCCTCAGATGCTTTGCTGCAAGCGCTTCGTGATGAATTTGAAGCTGTCGGTTCTTTGCCAAGACGCCGCCCAGGATTTCAGAAAAAGACTGTTCGGCAGCTGCAAAAGCAGAATCAGAAATTGAAGAAGAAAGTGGAGCGGTTGCAGAGAGAGCTCGCAGCAGCGAAATCTGATAGGCAAAATGGTCGGATTGCTGCAATGTGGTACATTCGCACTGCTTTTGCAGATCCTAAAGTACCCTTGCAGTCGCTCGCCTCTTGGTGTGCGAATTTTTACGAGGAAGAAGTTAAGGCCATATCAAGAACTCGCATTGCAACTGCCAAAGATGCTATGTGTGAGCTTGTAAAGCGGCTGAACTGCGAGGAAATTTCGCAAATTCCGGATGTATGTTCAGAGACCATTTTTGTACGGCATGTCCACGACGAGGCTTTGATGCGGCTCAGGCAGGGCATTCCAAGCCACGATCATTGTTGAAGAAGCCTACTGCACGTTTAATTTTGCGTTTTAGGTGCGAAAGGGAGGCCACACCATTGTGGGAAGAAAGGGGCTCAAGTTAGGTGTGGAGTGATATCAACCAAAATAAATTTCCCTTCGTCCCCCCAAGATGGACAAAGCTCCACATCCATTAAAAAAAACTAGGCATTTTTGGTTTTCTTTTACCACAAACAACTATACCTTGGATTGAGGAGTTACAGACCGGATGCAGCAATAGCTGGGCGCATTGTGCGTGGGAAGTACTCAAAAGTGCAAAACAATGTATTAGAGTTTTTCGCCGGTGCTCACAGGAAGGAGATTTTCACTGATCTTCAATGTTTAGACCGGAAAGACGCTCTCAGCATTGGCTGGGCGATCATTCAAGTCATGGAGACGGTTATCAATGCATTGACCTTGCCTCGTGACCTGCCTCCGCAATCTTGCCGACTGATTCATTGCCTTACTGGCGATGGAATTGCTACAAATGCCAAGGCAGGCAGGCACATTCTGGCATATTTCCGCCGGACTCTCGCGGCCGGGCCGCTGGAGTATTGTTTGATCGTAGTCCGCTGCGCAAGCCATGCGGCCTCTCTGGTGGTGCAGGCAGGTATCACTGGAGATTTGATGCGCGACGCTGTCAACCGGTGCGACCTCACTGCAGCTTGCAGCCGATTTTTCAAGCACATTCTACCTTCGAATATGGAGGACGTGCATGGCTCCCTGCGGACATGGCTGGATACCCATGGTGAAGAGCTTTTGGCCAATGGCGTTCCTATGGGATTGGAAACTTTGTACAGCTCGTTTGTTTTGCCGGAGGAGCTGCTTGCCTTGCTGAGGGGTCCGGCGGGCCCTGTGGACCTCCGGCAACAGATGCGGCAAATTTACATTTGCTTATCCAACACATGCTTGCTTGCGCAGGAGCGCCCTGTTCCTACCCGATTTTTCTTGTTCTCCCCGTGCGCGCCGTGAAATCGTTGGCAAAGCGTTCATGTCGTTCTTCCGACAAATCGCTTCGGGTTGAAACTCAGGGACTGGGGCACACGTTGGTGTCATGCCACGCGCGCTTGCTGAGCTCAGGTGCGGGCGCTTTTGAGATTGAAGCTGCTTCGGATTCCAAGCGCGGCACTCCGACCCACAAGACAAATGGCAAAGGAGGGTGCTCGCCGCTGGGAGCGCTTTGTTCATTTCTACGACAGCCTGGAAGCGTTGCAACGGCTGAAGAAGGTTGCTTTGTGCCTTCTGTTGACAGATGTTGCGTTGGCAATCACGGCGCAGAAGCCCGAGAAGGCCGAGGATAGGGATCCCACCATGGTGCGACTCAGTCGCGGCGAAGTGCAGCGCAGGGCTTCGAGGCAGCTAGCTGCTGTTATACCTCTTTTGGAGTTGGATTCTGAGCTGCAGGCAACGGACGTCATCGTTGGCTTGCTAACCACCCATGGCCACCTGGTAGTCAGATTTGCCGAATATGCGAACTGGCCGTACAGGATTTGGACTTTATGCGCTCGTTGGAATCCAAGTGGTTATCTTGCAGCGATTGAGCTATTTTTGGATCTGCCGGAAGCTGCTTTAGACATCGGATACGGTCTCCCATTGCAGCAAGCAGCTCTTAAACAAGGGTCCATTGCTGGGGCAATTTCCTTTCTTGTATCCGACGCGCAGCAGAGTGAACTTGAACAGACACTCCAGATCCTCTCGGCGTCGTCTCTGGACGTTGAGAGGAAGCATGCGGCAGACAAGAAACAGGAGCGGACGCGCGTCTTGTCTGTCGCAGCTGCTTCACGCAACACAGTCTTGCAGCGATATTGCACCAGGCGCCAGGCTGCGATTTCTGCAGACATGACGGAGCGCTCCAAACATCACAAACGGTTGAAGCTGTCTGCTACTGCGCTTGCTGTGCAGCGCAACCCTGACTGGTTTCCCAGATCTGGAGGGTTCCTTGGCGAGCGGTATCGCCACGCTGGAAATATGGAGGCGTTGCGTGCCTTTATAGCTCAGAACCGGGAAAGTCTGGAAGCTGAAGCTGCGGCCATCAGGCGCGAGGCGAAACAGGCCCTTGCCGTGAAGGACTTACCCGTGCTACCGCTCACCAACGCACAGTGGCTGCAATTCTTGGAGGCCCGGGGTGACGCATTTCGCGAGTTACTACGAACTGCCACAGAAAGCCGACGTGGTTTGTCTGCGAGGCTCGTTCCTCCAGCTGACGGTTTGCCTTTGGCTCCTTCGCTAGCACCTGCAGCCCCCCCTGAGCAGCCAAAGATATGGGAAAAGATATTGCTGCAGGAGCGACGGGGCTGGTTTGCCTTGACGAGGGTCGGAGTGCGGACGCGTGTCTGTGTTTTTTATATCGGCTTGCGAGGTCAGGGCCACGTTCTTTTATTGCCTGAGGTTGGCCGGCAGCTGCTTGAGTTGCATGTGTCTTCATCGCTCCATGATGAATGGGAACCGGTGCGTTCTGTGGCAGAGCGGTATTTTGATGAAGGCGTTGCAGAGTTAGTGGTCCATTCCCTGGACATCCACGCGAAGCCAATGGAATCCGGATGCGTGAGTCTTCAGGTTGTCGGGGCGACCGAAGTCTCTTTGCGCCCGCGGAAGGCAAAAGGGGGCGTAAAGGAAGCGCAGTTTGACTCAGAGTCAGACGCTTCCAGTTTCCCAGGGGGCGCCCTAGATCTTTCAGATGTTGAAAGCCTCGAGTCTAATGAAGCTTCTGAAGCGTCCGATCTCCTTGAGGAGCCAGTTCCTGCACATGAGACAGACGCAGAGGCTGGCCAGCTAGAGGACGACCTTGATGAGCCAGTGGCAGACGCAATAGCAAGTGCTTCACATGTGGTGGCAGAGTATTCAAGCGCTTACTTTACAATGGAGAACTATTCCTTGGCAGGTCGTGGGCACGACGTGAAGATGCGGCTCAGGCCCAGATGGGCTACTGAGCAGCCAGAGGGACTGGGCAAGCAACAGCGCAGCAAAACGTTACAGATTTTGGCGCATGATGCCCGCGAAGAAGACCCTCACCTATCTTATATCTTGTTGCGGTGTTGGAGTTTGTGGCGTGCGTCCCAAGGCGCGTGGCTGGGGCATCGTGTCTCTAGACAGCGTTGGCATGATCAGGAAAAGGCTCGGGTGCGAGATGCTATCCGAGCACTGGAGCAGCCTGTGGGCACCACCGGCAATCCTGCTGCAGACCAGAAAATTCGGGCGTGGGCGCCAGATGTCTTGGCGTGAGCACTTTGCAGTCAGAAATGACGCAGCTGTGCGCAGATACCTGTACTTTCCAAGATGCTGCAGAAAATAGTGGAACGATAAATGAAATTTAGTGGGTTTTAGTGGAACTTAGTGGAGTTTAGTGGCGTATATAGTAGGGCAATGAAATGAGTTTTGTTGTAGTTAGTGGAGTTTAGTGGAAATTAGTTGTACTTAGTAGCAATTAGTGGATATTAGTGGCATTTAGTGGAGATTAGTGGCATTTAGTGGAAATTAGTGGCATTTAGTGAAGATTAGTGGCATTTAGTCGAAAGTCGTGGCAGTTACCTCCGCGTGTCCTGCCGCTGGGTTGCATGCCCCGCACACTTACATGTGTTTGTGTCTCCATATATATATATATATGTATTTATTCATTTTCCTCCGCGTGTCCTGCCGCTGGGTTGCATGCCCCGCGCACTTACATGTGTTTGTGTCCCCATATAGATATATATATATATATATTTTATATTTATTTTCCTCCGCGTGTCCTGCCGCTGGGTTGCATGCCCCGCACACTTACATGTGTTTGTGTCCCCTTATATATATATATATATATTTATGTATTTTCCTCCGCGTGTCCTGCCGCTGGGTTGCATGCCCCGCACACTTACATGTGTTTGTGTCCCCATATATATATATGTATTTATTCATTTTCCTCCGCGTGTCCTGCCGCTGGGTTGCATGCCCCGCGCACTTACATGTGTTTGTGTCCCCATATAGATATATATATATATATATTTTATATTTATTTTCCTCCGCGTGTCCTGCCGCTGGGTTGCATGCCCCGCACACTTACATGTGTTTGTGTCCCCTTATATATATATATATATTTATGTATTTTCCTCCGCGTGTCCTGCCGCTGGGTTGCATGCCCCGCACACTTACATGTGTTTGTGTCCCCATATATATATATGTATTTATTCATTTTCCTCCGCGTGTCCTGCCGCTGGGTTGCATGCCCCGCACACTTACATGTGTTTGTGTCCCCTTATATATATATATATATTTATTTTTTTTCCTCCGCGTGTCCTGCCGCTGGGTTGCATGCCCCGCACACTTACATGTGTTTGTGTCCCCATATATATATATATATGTATTTATTCATTTTCCTCCGCGTGTCCTGCCGCTGGGTTGCATGCCCCGCACACTTACATGTGTTTGTGTCCCCATATATATATATATGTATATTTATTTATTTATTTTGCTCTGTGGCGCTGGCTTGCATGCCCTGCGCATTTACGCGCGCTTGTCCTCTAAAAGGATCGTGTTGAATGGACCTTTTGGTGGTGCCTTGGTGGTGCCGTTCGTTTTTCCGGGTCGATCCAACGCGGCCCGCAGCTTCCATGAGCATTTTGTCGCTTCAGGTGTTTTGGCTCCCTGACTCAAGGTCACTAGAGTGAATGGCGACGCTCACCCCGCAAGAGCAACAGGCTGCGACCGATGCCTTGAACGCCAAGGACTTCAGCGCCGAAGAAGTGAAGCTAGCGCAGCGTTCTGTGGATCGGCTTGTGCAGAAGAAGGGTCGGACTCCGACGCAAGATATGGTCATGATGTTTTGTGCTCTCAGGCGAGCCAGAGGACAAGGAGCGCGCATCAATCTATCCATGCTGGAGGGCTGGACCGGTCAGATGAGGCAGTCGACCACGGTCAAGCAGTCGCTTTACGTTGTGCAACAAGAGTCTTCAGCCCTATCGAACCCAAAGGTTGCAGAGGGCATTGTGCCTGCCAGTGACCTTGCAGATGTCCCACCGGGTCTTTTGGAGCAGGGTGTGGTGTTCGTTGACCCGGCGCCTTGATAAACTTGTATTGTTCGGAATGGGGGCATGGGGAGGTTTCGGGAATCATTATGGGGCGGTTTCCGCTCAGGTGGTGCCCCGCGAGTTGTTGGGCAAGAACGTCAGCGTGATTGAGTTAGCCTTGGGCGTGCATCGCTCCAGAGACATATCAGCCTCGCCCCACGCTTTGGGGGGAGATCAGCAAACAGTTGTGCCCGCGGGAGAAGCCTCTACAGACAATGTGGCGGAACCAGCCCCAAGCGCTTCGTCCCAAGACCTGCCGGAGGCAAAGCGCCAGCGGCTGCTGGTCCCTAGGATGAGCGAAGAGATGGGGGCTGACTCTGCAGCTGAGGAGATCGCAGAGAACTGCAAGCAAGCTTTCTTGGCGGGCCGCATCTCCTCCCAAGACGCACTGGACAGCACAACGGTGCTATTCTGGGTGCAGCGCTATGTGGAACACGTCACCAAGGCCTTTGAGGCTTTCCAAGGCGAACCTGCGCAGTTTCGTGGCGGTCTGAATGTGTGATTTTGGTATGACTCAAAAAAAGTAGGGGGCCCCCCCTTCCAAAAAGGCTGGTTGTCCTTTGGGTTTCCCGCATTAAACCAGAGCAAAAGAGGCCCTCAAAAAAGACACAGCGAATTGAAAAGAAAAAGCCACCGTGCGTTTGTTTTCGTGGCCAAACCTTCCTCTGGAATATATAGGCGCCCCACAGCCGAACTCCGCGGTAGCTCCGGGTTTGGGCTTTGGCCAGTTAGGTTTGCGGCCCAATTGGACGACTACGCGAAGTTGCTGATCAAGTACCTGGTGAAGACCGTCCTGAACCCACCCAAAGCCATTGCGTTTGCAGATGTCCAGGTCTTTGCTACGGCGTTCCGGGAGTTGGACAAGGTACCTGGCCTCTTGCCAGACACAGGCCGTGCAATTTGTGCTTTGGCAGCTTATGATATCCGGTCTCGAGGGGATTTGAGCATTTCGCTGAATCTGCAGCAGCAGACCATCTTCTACAAGAGTGATTTCTACAAATCCTTCATGCAGCACCGTGCTTCCGAAAGAATCTTAGCAGTCAAGGCCAACGTCGCCGCGGACGTGGGCCAGAGGTTGGCGGCTGTCACCAGCATCCTCGAGGACGGGAACTTGACGGATCACCAGAAGGAGGACTTGCAGTTTGCCCAAACGATTTTTGGCGCGGCCTCGGAGGAGACGAAGCTGGATTTCTTGATGTCGCAGGCATGGCTGAGTCATTCCATTTTGAGCATAGTCACAAGTGAAAAGTTGTTGTCGGTTGGTCGGGTGTTTCTACTAAGTGTTCGCACCATGCCCTGGTATTTATGTAAGCCAGAACGCTTGATGGCTTCTATGGGCACCCTTGAAACAAGAGTCTGTCTTTTGCCAGACACAGGCTGGCCGCCTTGACACCCTTGCCACTTGGGAGCCAACAGATGCTCGATTGCGTTTGAAACGGTTCCTGGACAAGACCAATGCTTGGAAAGATGCAGATCCAGCCCAGTTCCTGGATGACTGTTTGCGGCTTGTTAACACAGGCAGTGTTGCTCACATCCAGCACCCAGTTGTCCGCAGCTTGGTCGCCATGTTGGGGAAGCTTGTGGCTGCGTGCGGTGAGCACTCTTTGCTGCAGCGCTTTAGTCACCAACTTCTTTTGGAGTCTCCGCCGCGTCCATTAACAAGTTTCTCTCCGCTGCACATCGTGTTTCCAAGGTAAAGCTGTTTGCTTTGATATTTGGCGCTGGAAACCACATGCCTTAGGATTTGGCGTGCGTCAAGGTGGACTTGCCTTACCTTTCCCTAAAGATCTCTCCAGAGGAGCTTGCTGTTCCAGACCTTCAACCCATGCTGCAAAAGATGCTTGCAGTTGTATCCACGAAGGATTGGGTGCAGAGTGAGGGGAATCCGACCAATTATTTTCTTTTTAGTGCTGTTTTCCAAAGACATGTCCCCCAAACCCGATAGCTGGCCCACAAACACAGAAACCCTAAAGTACGCAGGACTTGGCTAGAGACGGCGAGGCCCTACGCTTCTTGCAACAATCCGTGAAGCCGGAAGCACCCGCAGGAAAAAAGCCGGCAATGCCTGAGACCGCGGAGAAACAAGGCGAGGCTGGAGACGGCGGGGCAGATGCACGCCAGGACCAAGAACCCAAGAGTCGACATGGATTTCCGGTGGGTAGCATTGTGATCACGACGTCGGTGAAGCACAAGAGTAAGTACCACAACCAACGAGCCGAGGTGGTCGCTGAGTTGACCCACGAGGTGAAAGTCCTTCTCCTGACCGGTGATGCGGACACGGAAGTAAAAAAGTTTAAGCCCGAGAACTTGAAGCTCGCCCCGCCAGAGGAGAAAGACACGGCAAAGCCCACCAACACCGCCGCGGAGCGTGCCCAGAATCTTTTCGCAGGGGACGACCTTGATGGATTGTGACACCACGCCCGTGGATCGAGCCAAAAGAGTTTTCTTGCATGGGAGCTGGGCCTGAGCTTTCCCAAGCTTGACAAACGTAGCTAACGGAAGAGTTGAAGCAGCCGACATGGGGCAACAAAGCAATCGCGCCCTACATAGTTTGAAATGTTCCTACGCAGGTAGTGAACGCTTGTTGATGTTGAGAAGCAAATCTTGTGGCGGTTTCTTGTTTGCGCCAAGCTAAGCCGCTATTCACCGCTAATTGCCGCTAACTGTCGCTAATAGGAACTGCCTAAGACGCCTGCAAGCCTCCAACAGTTGCTACTTAACTGTATATAGCCCAACACCCACCTCATGTTATCAGCTTATATGAACAAATGCTCATGATGCAGTGTACATATATATATATATTGTTTATACAGTTGAACATAGAGTTAGCTACACACATCAGTGGCCTTGTTTTTCGTTTCTGTCCACTGCGAATCTCCCCGGGCCGTGTGTCTTTGGAGGCTCCCTTGCCGGTGCCCGCCGCCCGGCCTCAGAGCCCCAGCTCCTTGCAGCGCGCAAGGGAGGAGGCGGCTTCGTGTTGCCGTGGAACCCAGACAAATGGTCTGAATGGTCCCTTCAGGAAAACCGTGTAAAATCGTCTTCCACCCCTCAGGTTTCCAGGTCCCATGTTAGTGGATGGGAGAGCAATGTAAGGGCCTAGAAAAAAAACACGAATACTTTACTCCTACCATTATGGCTGACATTAGAGAAGCACAAGCGCCCCAGAATTCCATTCTGATTCTGAGACGCTTTTCATCTGCACCTTTGGCTTACCAGGGGTGTTCCTTTTTTTTTGGTACATGGTGGTGTCGCTTTTGCTGCCAGGGAAGGGTCATGGCCAGCATCATCATCATTGGCGGAGACTGAATCGATGACCTCGGTTCATATACTTCAGACTCAAGGGAGCCATTGCAGAATCATTTTTGGGACCATCATTGTTCCAGTCAGGGTCATTACTCTTAGTGATTTATTTAGTTCTGTTAAGAGTCATGAGCTTGCCATGGCTTCCCTTGCTTTGGCTCCAAATCAATGTCGGACATGGAAGAACTCAAGAAAAGCTGGTTCCCAAGATGGATCCCGAAGTTGCAAGTGGTGTTGCCTTTTTTAATGCTGAGCTCACCGATTCGAGGGCCAAACAAGCCCACCATCATGAAGATCCCTTGCTTGGGGGATCGCTGATTCCAGGTGTTTGACTTATTGTGCAATGCGGCATCTTGCAGAGTTAAGCAATTTTAACCCTTGGTAGGACAACATGGACATGGAGATCTCCCTTTTTGGAGGGTCTTTCACCTTTTGGGGAAGGTCCTGATGAATGCGGCCGGGCCGGTTGATTGATTAATGTTGACCCCTGATTAGTGAATAACCCTTCCAGTTATTAATCAGGGGGGGTCCGTTTTGAGGTGGGATTCCTTCCTTCCAGGGTGTGACTGAGGGGTTTACGGCACTTGGATGTTCAACCAACTTGGTGAGTAGACTACAAGCATGGCTGTAAGGGAACTAACCCCAGTTACACGAGGTATAACCATGGCTATGACCTACGAAAGCTGGTTTGCCATCCAAGTATGAATCAGGGGTCAAAGTAGTTCCCGTTCTCTGTCGACGTAGGCCCAAGCAGTGGAGCGGCGTCTCGCGGGCAAAGCCACGCTGCCGCCGCCACCGCCGCCGTCATCGTCACCGCCCTCGTGTGGGAGCCCAGAGCGGCGTCCGAAACCGCTAATGACAATTTCCCAAACCTCCAGTGGTGTCTTTTTTTCCTTGTTTTCCCAAGTCTTTGCCCAGATAGGTTCTGGGGTAGCTTGGTGCGCGTTTTGGAGGGTTTTGGCAGGTTTCTGTTGGAGCTTGTCTTGGAGGGGGCTTCCCTTTAGTTTCAATCAACACACAAGAGTGCCTTTTTCTTTCCCATCGGGGGGGGGGGGGCGGGGTTTGGGATTCTAGTAAGTAGTTCCGAAACGATTAGCAAAATGTGGCTCCCACCATCATGCCAGAATTGGCTTTAAAGTACTGTGCCCCATGGCCATAATGGTACAGCTCTTTGCCAACCCAAATCTCACCCATGCATTTTTGGTTCTGGGTATGTCCCGTGCAGCGGGGGGTCCAAACAGGACCACTGTTTTTGTTGATTGGGAAATGCAAGGTTGGGGTATCATGAGTTGAAAGGACCAGGCGCTGATTTTTCGTCAATGGGACTAAGGGCTGCGCTTGAGCAATGGGCCGGTTAGCAATGGATCCGCCCAATCAAACGGCCTAGCCTAGGTTCAGGGTTGGAAGGGATTCGGGAAGCCCAGTTCAGTGGGTGCCTGTCATATATATATATATATCAGAATAAGGGGAACCCTTTGGCTTCCCTTTGAAACAACCGCAGAAAGGGCAACCTCAAAATACATACACACATGCTATACCTTTTGCCTTTTTGGTTTCCCGCAAATCACTTGGCAACTGGGTCATTTGAAAGGTATCACAGAAGGTTTCGTTCCTGCGGAATGAAGCTCGGGGTCGATAGTAGACACCCTCTCCGCTGCCGCTTGTTGGAGGGAGGTGCGGGTCGTTTGAACATGTCATGCACCTTCCTTTACGGATTGTCAATTGCCAGCGAACTCAAGGGAAAACCTACAAAGAAGGGTCCTTCCTAGCGGAAAGCCAACAGAACATTGGGATGTGGTTTGTGTATGAGCGCCAGACACACGCCCAAAGCGGGTTTTCCCCCCGGCCCTTGCACCAACAACATGATAATTAGGTGGTGTCCCTTTCCCACCCCAAAGAACAACGGCTTTCCCTTGGCTTCCCTTCAAACCAACCCTGTTCACCGCTGGAGTCTATCTCGCTGAGGCCTGTCCCGGGTCCATGCCGCACCGTGCCAAGCCTCAGGTCGTTGGTCGTGAAACGGGGTCCTCGGGATCACAGTGTGTGTGTGTGTGTGTGTGTTGCTTTGAGAGTGTTCACAATGTTCAGCTTGTATGTTGAGGGTTTTGCCAAATTTGGGAGTTGGTACCCTTTCATCTTGGTTTAACAAGCTGACCTGAATGTCCTCATGTGTGTGTGTGTGTGTGTGTGTGTGTGTGTGTG